CGGTGTTGGGGATTTGGGTATTTTCAGAGTGATGCAGTGAGTCTGTGAGCCTTCAGCACTCAGGGAATGAAGCAAAGCCTCTGATAGCTTAAAGCTCTGGCTGATCACTTTAGTTCAGGTTAATTAAAACTTCATGCATTTCTTGAAAATTAGCATCTCTTGTTGACTAGAACAAGTTGAGAATCCATGAGTAGAAAAATTAGATGAAGATGACTTCTTTTTTAACTGAATGCCAGTAGCATGACTAGTTTTTAGGTTGATACAGGGCTTAAATGTCTCGAGTTCTTTAATGCTATATTACAGCTGAGCACTGGAAGGCTCAAGGAGCCAGACCTAATTTTGGGGTAATGCCTACGTCCCAGTTGATGCTTCTTTACTTTTAAAAGCTATTGAATACCTATTAGTTATTGATTCTGTTATCCTTCTGTACTTGATCTCTGATTCTTCTGAGAAAGTGAATGTAAATAGTTCTTGAGCACTTCAAAAACAATTTGCTGCTTTCTGTGCCTGAAAACTCACTTGGGATTTCTGAAACGGCATTCAACATGACTAGCTGATAGTGTTGGGTTGCCAATCATAGCTCAAAAAAACCTCTTTTGATGTAGCTTTAGCTTTCTGGTTTTTGGGGAGACTTTTTGGGATGGGGCAACTACCACTTCAGAAGAAGAGGAGGTGCTGTTCTGTGGTTCTGGAAGCTGGGGCTTGGATTTGGCTGAGAAAATAGGCACCTGTGCAACCAGGTGCTGTAAATGAGAAGTTTTCCAGACTTGTAGTGGAGACTTCCTTGGAAGTGGAAGGTAAAAATCGGTGGTTTCCAGAAAGCTACTCTGACTCAGTGGCTCATGCCTGCAGATGCGTATTTAAAACATCACAATTGGCTTTGTCGCCTTTGAGACACACCGAGAGGTTATGCAGGGGCTTTGACTGGCATAAGTCTCATCACCTGGGGGGTGAGATGGTGTTTTTAGTAATATAACTCATTTTCTCCCAGGAAATTGAGCTTGATTAAGATTTTTTTTTTTTAACTTTCTTGGAGAAGTCTGCAGCCCCTGGGCGGTGAGTGCTGCTCCCACGGAGCAATTAAGCTTTTCTAGGGAACATATCTGATGTGACTGAAGCTGTGCTTCCTGCTAACTACTTCTCTGCTGACTGTATTACCCCAGGTGCAGCTGCAGGTGCTACCAGAGCAGCAGTGGGAGAGGTAATGCCACCTCTGATAGCTGCAGCTGAAGTCACTGCTTCTCCCTACAGAGCCCTGGGCTCTTAAAACTCAGCTCAAAAGCAAAATAGCTGCAGGGCAGACACCTTGTCAGAGCTGTGAGAGGGCCGATAGCAGCAGGACCCAGGAGATAAGTGGATCTGAGGTGATGAGAGTAAGGAGAGAAGGCTGGGGATATAATCATAGGATCCCACAATGGTTTGAGTTGGAAGGGACCTTAAAGACCACCTAGTTCCAAACCCCTGTCAGGGGCAGGGACACCTTCTGCTAGACCAGGTTGCTCCAACCCCATCCAGACTGGTCTTGGGATATTAGAGCAAGGCAGGCCTGAACCAGGCATGAATTACAGGGGGAGGAGTGATACTTTGGAGGGCATTGGCTAGAAATATCATATTTAGTCTTTTTTTAATTCCCCAGCACCTGCATAAATTGAGGGCATGGCTTATTTTCATGTTGCATAAGATGGGCTGAGGTAAAGGAAGACTTAGGGTGAAGGCATGTGCTACTTCTGGCTGCAGAGGGTGAGGAATGCATTTCATTCCTTCAGCACTGAAGGTGGTGTTTGCTGTCCTTGGTCTCATGTTTTTTCATTCCTCTTTGCCATGAGATGGGTCCTACAGGGTCATGATTGTCCTGACCACAACACGTTGTTCATGATGCAGGAGAGCTGCATTGATCTTCCCAGCCAGTCTTAACTGTGTTCCTGAGTCTGGCCTTTACTCAAGAAAAACTCTTTTCTACTGCTTTTAGACCATACTTTGGCTAAAGTGGTGCTTCCTGTGCTTAGAGCTCTGACTTGCCCTCTCATGAAGCTCATGGCACTTGAGCAAATGCTGCCTTCATCTGAAGGTGGCAATCTGCAGTGGTAGAAATGGGGAGGCACCAATTTGGGGGTTTCAGTCTCTTCCTTGGTCAGTCTGATGGCAATGAAAAGGTGTCTTACTCTGCTCTCCTCATCACTGAAGTAACTGCTCCTAGCACAGGCTCTAAAGTGTTGCTGAGACTGTGCTTTCCATATGGAAACCTGGTTGATACTTGCACAAATTATGCAACAGCCACATCAGATCCTGCTCTGAACTTCTGCAAAACACTGATCAAACCTGCCCAGGAGCTGCGCAGCCTCTGCTGTTGCCTGTGGCATCTGCTGCCCTTCAAGTAGCAGGGATGGCACTCGGTGAACATCAGGGAATGGGGGAGAAAACAGCTGCCCGGGCTGGAGGCAGTGATTTAGCTGTGCTCAGAGGGGGAAGGTGCATCTGCCATGCACACAGCTCATCTCACCTCGAGGTGACCCTGTATTTGACAGGCATAAGTTGCACATGTTTTGAAACTCCTGGCAGACTAATAGGCTGAAGGATTCAAAACAGGAGTGGTTTGAAGCCTCGAGGTGGTTTAGTGACAAAGCAGACACCTGCCTGGGAGTGCAGTTCCTGTACAGCCCAAGTTTGGGATTATTTGCAAGCTGAGTGTTTTGTCCGTCTCTTGCCCAAGGGACGCGAGGCTCGGCTGCCTTTTGTTCTGCTCTTTCCTCCCCTAAAGAGGGAGGAACAGAGGATGCTTCCCTTGCCAGAGTCCTTGCTGACCTCTGCCGAACCCTCTGATCCTACTCCACCCTTGCCCCTCTTCCAGCTCATGGGCTGCACCTCTTCTGTCTCCAGCCCTCTCTGTTTTCAGGGGCCACTGCTGCTACACTCTTACCAAACCAGTTTCAGTGGGCTTGGAAGGTGAATAAATAGTTTCCTGTCTGGCTTTGTCCTATTTACCCTTCTGTGTCTTTAGTTGCATTAGGACAGTGAGGAAAAACTCCCCCATGTTCTCAGAGCTGGATGCTCCAACCATCTTGCCCTCGAAGTGCCTCCTATCTGACCCACTGAATGGGAAGGATGGAGAAGAACCTATTGTGACAAATTCCCCGAGGCTACAATCCTGGATATGGCTGAAGATGAAAACGTCATGATCATGGTTTTGAGCCTTCCCCCAGGCTGATTTTGGCCTTGCACAGCTGCCCAAGCTCTCCTGGCACCAGGAGGAACATCAGTGGTGATGGGTACTCTGCTTTGAGGAGAGGTTATGATGTCCATGCTTTTTGGAGTAACCAAACTCCAAGTTTGGCGTTTAGTTTGGGATTGAGATGCTTGCATGAGACTTTGTAGTGCTTCTGATGCCACTGGGCACCCTGTCTGGCTGTGTCCATTCCTCCAGAATACAGACTGCCCCTCAACCCTGCCACATCTGCCAGCAGATACTTCATACCTGGTGGTGCCCACAGTGTCATGATACTTGGGGTGTTATGTTCAGGTGCTCCTGTACATTCCTCAACTCACTTATTTCTATCTGGACAAATTTCCATTGTGCAGGGATGAAAGCAGCCAAAGCTCCATCAGAAGCAGAGGATGACACCCTTGGTGAGCTTTGCTGGATGGGGCCAGCAGCACCTTGGATGCTCTTTGAAGCCTTCAGAGCAGTCCTGATAAGACCCATTCACATCTATTCCTGTCCAGCTGGCAGGTGAAGAAGGCAGAGATCAGGCAGAGGATTAATCTGAGGGCTTTTATCAGGTTTCCCACACCTTGGATAAGCAGCTTGGAAGTCACCTGAAATCTTGAAGCCCCTGCAGCTGCCTTGCACCCTCTGAGCCCTCCCGTGGGGATGCTGAGCTCAGTTGGCTCGTCGCTTGTGGCAGGAAGCACTGCAGCCCCTGTCCTATGTCTCTGAGTTCCTGTTTGTGGCCTCACTGCTTGGGGCTCCTATTTTGTGGTGATGAGCTGTCAGCTTGATCCTTCAGAGACAGCATGTGCTGCTTTCAGCTGCTGCCTCTACATTTGCTTATAGAAGGCTTTAAAAAAGCCATCAGTATTTTAGTTTCCATTCAAACCTCTGCCTTGAAGCTCACCCTTTTCATTTCACTGTAGTGCCTAAAGCCAGCTAATGAAATATATCCCTCCTGCTTCAAATTAGGCATAAAGGACTTGTCAGAAGATGGGGAGAAGCTACTGAATAGTCCCGGTAATGTAAAAATCGACATTCTACAATGCCCCTAATTCTCCTAATTAAACATGATACATGAGTATGCTACAAGGGTCCTCCAGCTGCTTGGTAATGAGATGTTGCAGGGCCCAGCTTGCTGTTGGATGAGGCCAGGTTAAACTCTAATTAAAGCCTTGTATAAGGCTAAGGAGTTGTCTGCTGTAATTAAGAAACTTGTCTTGCTCTCTGGGTGCTGCCACCTCCAGTGACCTGCTCCTCTGCCCTGTGGGGAGCTATGGGTCTCTCCATCCATATCAGGTGTCTCCTTGGAAACATTTATCTTTCCACCTGTAGTTTCAAATTTCTGTGTCGCAAGTGCTGCTTGTGCCATGAGTTGCAGAAGGTGTTGGGCTTGGGGAGGGCTGTGGTGCAGCCTTGCTCCTGGCTGGGTCCTTTTATGGCTTCCAGTCAGACTTTTCATCCTGTTTTGTTGGGTTTTTTTTATCTGAGTGGAGCAACCTGTTGACTCTTGGCTTTGCTGCCCACCCCATTGACTTGGTCACCAGACTGGCATGTGAAACTTGTGGTCTTGTCCAGCTTCTTTGGACACATACCTGAGGCCAACCCAAAACATACTGGAGGCAATTCCTGTTCCTGAGAACAGACAAGGGCATTAGAGAAGGCCCTTGCAAGGTTCTGGGTGCTGTGGACTTCTTGCTGCAGCCCTCAGTGGCCATGACTGGTGGATCTGCCCACACCTTGGGACCCCAGCGCAGCCCACGGCCCCCTCACCACCCCCCCATCTCGTTGGCAGGGTACCTCAAATGTGACACCGATGATGGCTGCGAGACGAAGGAGGAGACGGCGGGTGAGGAGCTCTTCGATGCAGTGAACTCCTCCATCGTCTCTGGGGACAGCATCCGCTTCTTCGTCAATGTCAACCTGGAGGTGCCACCCAACGCCACTGGTGAGTGCCACCCCCGGAGCAGGGCTGAGAGACATGGTTGTTCCTCAAAGCAGGATTTTATGGAGTATTTGGGTTGGAAGGACCTTTAAAGATCATCTAGTTCCAACCCTCTACCATGAGTCGGGGGCACCTTCCACTAGCCCAGGTTGCTCCAAACCCCATCCAGCATGGTCTCAAGCACTTCCAGGGATGGGGCAGTCACAGCTTCTTCGGACTCCAGTGCTTTACCACCTTTATTGTAAAATAAAGAAGAAAAAGTGTGGAGAGGAGCTTTTGGGGTTGGATACATGCCTTTTGGGTTTAATCATCCTGGCTGGAGCCAAACAATCCCTACGCTTGCTGTGTGGAGTCAGATAGTAAAAATGAGGAGAAAACCAGCCCGTTGGAAACCTCTGGTGGGGGTGGAACCTCCACAGTACGGAGGGGTGCCCACGGTACTGGAAAGTGCTGTTGTGTGTATGCTGTTTGTAAGTGTAAGCTGCCTGCTCCAGGTGAGGGAGCAAGGGCTAAGTTCCCCCAAATATGCTGTAGTAGGATCTGTGCCTGTTTCCAAGCAGCTTCACATAGGGGTAAGGGAGATGGTATTTCCTGGTGGTGGTGCCTGTAGGACTGGGGATGAAGACAGCAGCAAAACACACCCCTGGAGCTTCTGTCCTGTGGTAGCTGCAGTGTCAGCTTTGAGTGGTGGTTTGGCTTGTATAGGTCAAGTGTTTTGGGAGTGGACAGAGGAGAGTTGCTCCAAAAGCAAGTGACAGTGCTCAATGAATCAGTGGAAGAACTTCGTGTCAGGCTGGTTCTGCAGGCCCTGGTGCTGTGCTGCTTCTTGGGGTACATGGCTGAGAATGGACAGGTAGCCGTGCTGCAGATGGACATGTTTGCCCAAGCTGTGCTCTTTGTGTACTCGCTCCCAGCCTCAAGAGTTGGGTTGGAAGGGACTTGTAAACACTGTCCAGTTCCAACCCCCTGCCATGGGCAGGGATATCTTCCACTAGGCCAGGTTGCTCCAAGCCCTATCCAGCCTGACCTTGAACTTTTCTCTCTGGCACACTGTTTTAGCATCTTCTGTACTGCACGTGATAAACGGTGAGGGAGGAAGAATCTGACTTTCATGCCATGTACCTAGGAAAACGTAGCTTTTGGGCATGACAGCAGCCTGGATTTTGTCCCAGTGGCTGGAGGCATTATGGAGCGCCTCTGTGCAGGCACTGGCTAATTTGGACATTACATGCTCAGGCTCTGTATTATCCTTGGTGTCACAGAATCCTTCAAGTTTGTTCAAAGTGATTTTTAGATTACAAGCAAACCTCATTTGTTCATAGGGAGCAATTACTGGGAATGGTAATGCAGGTGAGGCATGGCCCAGACCCCTGTTTGACTCTCTGCTTTTTGACTCTGAGCAGTGACTTGAACCCAGGAATAATATCCAGTGATTTTTAAGCCTGCAATTTCACAAATGCCATCCTAATTGAAAGATTTAAGGGAACTGTGCTCTGCTATGACAAGTCTGGGCTTAATGCCGTGGGGTGCATTGTTCGGGGATGAGGAATGCATGTGTTGTGGATTCTTCTGCATCTGAAGTTCACTTTCCGTGTGTGTTCTCCTGGGCTTTTTTGAAGTGTTTTCCTTCTATTCAAAACAGGACAAAAAAGGTTTCCTTATTTCCCTGAAGCGCTCATGGTGGTGGTGGTGGTATATTAGTTGTATCCTTTCTTTTTCTTTTTTTTTTTTTTTCCAGCTGAGATGTTTAGGATTCTTAAGGAGAAATGGATTTCTGGTGTGCTGAGGTCACATTTCAAATGCAGGGATGGAGGTTTTAAAAATGGGCTCAAGGCAGAACAGAAGTCCAGACTTTCAATAAGAGCAGGTGTGAAGGGAGATATATTTTTTAAAGTTTTTTCAATGACAACATCAAAGTGGTCTGGGAGGCCAATATCCAGGTGGTTCTCTATCAGGCATAGGATTGCTCAGACTCCAGGTGTTGGAGTCCTCTATGCTATCAGCTCCTACTCAGAGGTGGTTTTACTGAAGCATCTTCCATGGTGGCTTTTATCCATATTGAATGAGTCTGTGGCTGCAGAGGGCATAGCTGATCCTCCTGGAAGGCTGACTTCTTGGATGGGTGAAAGTGGCTGAGATGAGTCCTTTAAGCTCTTCTAACAAAAGTAGCCTGAACTGCTGAAAAAAGATACCTATTTCCTAAATGGGGTTTAACTATGCCATGGCCAAGGTATGTCTGGGAGTGAACTGTTCCCTGTGCTACTCTGCAAGGGGAATCTTCAGAAATTCCCTTGCATTGCTGCTGCTCTCTAGAAGCTTTTTTTATACTTAGGCTTTGATTTCCTGGAACAAAACTGTGGAGCTGAGCATTTGCACGGATTATCTCCTGCAAGATAAATTGAAAAGGATAGGAGAAAAAAAAACAACTAGGTTTTGTCCAGGCAATCCAAGATGCCCCAAACACCTCATTTCCAACCCCAAGGGATCCCACAAGATCTTCTGGTGCCCTGTAAATAGAGAGGAGAAGCAAGTGTGGGAATGACATATTTCCATCGCCATCTCATTTTCTTGCTTTCTTCAAGCTAGATGAAACCTTTATTGAGCTGAAATGATTCCTTATGCAAGAAGCCTTGATGATGCTCTCTTGGGTCTTGCAAACCCATTGCAACACTGGGCCAAAGAGGGACTGACTGAGGGCTGTTTTGTGCTAAGAGGGCTGAGTGCTGCCTGGGTTGATTTGCTCCCTAGTGTCAGGTTCACTTGCTGCCTAAAATGTGGCTGCTCCATCCCTGGAAGTGTTTCAGGCCAGGTTGGATGGGGTTTGGAGCAACCTGGTCTAGTGGAAGGTGTCCCTGCCAAAGGCAGGGAGTTGGAACTAAATAATCCTTAAGGCACCTTTCAAACCAAACAGTTTTGTGATTGGCAGGAAATTTTTGGCAGGAAAAACCTTGAAGGTGACTTGAAACAAGATCAGCAGCCACACTGTGATGTCTGTGAGTCTCGGAATGTGTTCTGGTCATGACACTTTGGTCTCTTGGCTGAACTCGGTGTCCAGATTCTCTCCTGCTGGAGAGCTTTTCAAGCAAGCTGCTGTGAGGTTTCTGCCCACCTTAGTGTAGGCCTAAAAGATCCAAAATTCCCATCTGGGGAGGAGATGAGTTGGCACTCCTGTGTCCAGGTGCTGGCAGGTAATGTAAGTGGAATTACAGATGCAGTGACAGCTCTGCCACTATCCTGTTGAGCTATTGGTCTCTGTGTGATGTATGTACAGCTCTCTCTAAGCATAACTGGATGCACTTTACTATAATTGTTTTTGAAAGATCACTACGTGGGATTAAGCTTTGAGCTAGCAAAACATAGAATGGCCCATAAAACTCCAACAATTAACCATTGGCATAAAATGCTGTGCTGTGCTCACAGATTGTTTAAAACAGGATGGCATGAAGAAATCTAGCGCTCAAGGTATGGCCTGTTTGATTTTTAATTAATGCTGTCTGCCCTTGCATGGAATACTGAGCCCAAACCAGTAAGGATGCCTAGGGACTAAGATGCTGTTCAGTAGTGACATATTTGGGTCCTTTCTCCTGGGTGTTTCAGTTGCTACTTTGTGGTAGATGTTGAAAGGGTTTTTCTCTTCTTTTCTGCTTTTCATCCTTGCAACTTAGGTTTTGTTGCTAAGATTTATTTTCAGTAAATGTTAGTAGCTTTAATGTGAAGGTGGGTCTTTATCTGAAGCTGGAGGCTTTTGGACCTGGGATCTGCAGTTTGGGGGGAAGGTCAGGATGGCTTTTAGACTGAGACTTGTTCTGAAGTCACAATAAATGTGTGCAAACAAAATCACAGAGTAGTTTGGGTGGGAAGAGACCTTTAAAAGTCATTTAGTCCAACCCCCCTGCTATGAGCAGATAGGTGTTCCACTAGCCCAGGTTGCTCCAAGCCCTGTCCAGACTGGCCTTGAAGCACTTCCAGGGGTGGGGCAGCTACAGCTTCTTTGGGCAATCTGTGCCAGTGCCTCACCACCCTTACCATAAAAAAACCCCAATTCTTCCTCAGATCTAATCTATATCAACTCTCTTTTGGTTTGAAGCCAAACCCTTGTCCAGAGTTCCTCTCCAGCTCTCTTAGTGCCCCTTTAGGCACTGGAAGGTGCTAAAAGTCTCCCTGGACCCTTCTCTTCTCCAGGCTGAATACCCCCAGCTCTCTCAGCCTGGCTCCGTGGTAGAGGTGCTTCAGCTCTTGGGGCATTTCCAGGGTCTCCTCTGGGCTCACTCCAGCAGCTCCACATCCTTCTTATGCTGTGTGCAGGCAGAGCTGGAGGGAGCACACTGCAGGTAGTTCTCACCTGAGCAGGGTAGAGGGGGAGAATTCCATCCCTGAACCTGCTGCCCACACTATGAGGGTGCAGGTAGGTCTGTGACCTGCTTTGTATTTTTGCAGGAGTCAGAACTGTGTTCCAGTCCCAAATGAAGTCCCTTTTCCCTGACAGATCAGAGAGGGAGCCTCACCACAGGAGCAGGGCTGTTACCTTTCCTGTGCGGCAGGCAGAAAAACCCAGCTTGATGATCTGTTTTCTGGGAATTTATGCCAGAGAGGATGAAGAGCATTTGTGAGTTTGGTGTACAGTGGGGGAGAAACCTCTTTCCAGATCTATGGGGTCCAAGCCCTGATTAGTGCATAGCTCCCAGATTTGCTATCTACTAGGCTCATGTATGACCCTGTATTCTCTCATCTAGAAGTGCATTAGTCCTTCACTCAGTGCTCTGTGGATGTGCATTTGACTATCTTTACTTCTTGGTGTGTTTTATATATGGGCTTTTCTATGAATGCATCTGGAGCTTGGGCTGCATCCCTTGTCAGGATAATAGAAACATCAAATTAGGGGATTCAGCCACTTGCTGCTTTATCTGCTGCACACTTGGAATTAAATTCCTGCAAATAAATACAGCATTTTGGTTTAGGCTGAGCCTTAAATTTGGTGGACAGGTGATGTGAATGAGTCTGGG